AAGTTTCGGTTCTTTTTTTTTGAAAATATTCTACGAAGAAAATCTTTTTTTGAGAATCATCACAATTTCTGTTTGTGAAAATGTTCTCATTTTGGTTTTGATAAAATGATAAAAACAGCCGCCACAATTCGAATCAAAGATCCAATAATAAATATCAAATAATTTCTTTTTCCTCGAATATCTTTGATATATAATATGGACCAAAGTGTTGCAATTGTTCCAGGTCCAATTGAAATTAATGGAAATGAAATCGCTTGACTTAAAACACTATTTGCTAAAATAAATCCCGATTGGGCAATTCCCCACATAATTCCTGATATAAATGCAGGAAAAATACTTTCGATGGAAATATAAGGACGATTCCTTTTACAAATTATATAAATCATATAATAAATTAAGGAGGAAAATAAAATTCCTGTATACATTGAAAAGATATAATGAAGACCATTTTTAGTTGATTGAGGATATTTTTCATGGTGATCTTGAATATATGTTGAAGGAGTAAAGACTAAACCAAATAGAACTCCACTTAAAATGGCTAAGAAACAGCCTAAAATACGCATTTGAGTTCTTTTAGTGAAAATTTTCTTTTCATTTGTTGAATTAATCAATTGAGTCGATAAACTTTCATTTTCTTCCAGATTTTCTTTATTTTGATTACTACGAATTCCAAGAAATATTAATCCACTAATAACAGCAATAGTAACACCAAGATAATTATAAACTGGATATTGAACTTCTTCAGCTTTTAATCCAAACCAACCAAAATGCCCACTTGCCCATCCAATAAATAAATTTGATGTACACCATAATAACATTGATAGACCAAGACCATTTATTGGAATAACAAACATTGAAAGAACATTACCTGATGTCCATAAGACACCTCCAATAATTACCAATGGATAAAAAGGAGGATTTCCAACAATTAAATTAACAATCACACCTGTTAGCCAGATACCACAACATAAAAAGAATTGAAATGAAACTCCATCTCCAATTGGATATTTAGCGGCTGGAACAAAATTTGATCCGAAAAAGACAACGGAAATTACTACAGCTAAATAACCAGCCCAGATTGGATATGGTTGTGTGAGAGGAGCAATGGTAGTAGTGACATTTTCATTTAGCAAAAAATCCATTAATTTCAATTCTTTTTTCCTTTTTCTGAAAGAAAGGAAAAGTTTTTTGGTGGTCGAGTATCGGTTGGCCGGAGGGTAATCGGGGTTGGAGAACTCGAATCCGTTGTCAGTTTTTCCTTACCCACCAAGATCCGTCTTCTTCCTTTTTCTTTCTAAAACAGATATTTTTCTGTATCTTTTCTAAAATCTTGCATAGAAGGTAGTGGATGAAACGCTATTTCTGGATATGATCTGTGCGAAGATAGTAGTTTAGGCTAGGGGTGGCACATTTACTTTACTTTTTCTTTAGGTAAATAAGATAAAGTAAATAAAATATTTACTATTTACTTTAGTAAAGTAAATATGTTATTTACTATTTACCTTGGCAAAGTAAATAAAGTATTTACTATTTACTTTTGTAAAGTAAATATTTTATTTACTATTTACTACGGTAAAGTAAATAAGTAAATAGGGCTAGTTCGTCATGTTTTGATAAAATAGCGTTTATTTACCGTAGTAAATAGTAAATAAAATATTTACTTTACAAAAGTAAATAGTAAATACTTTATTTACTTTGCCAAGGTAAATAGTAAATAATATATTTACTTTACTGAAGTAAATAGTAAATATTTTATTTACCTATTTACCAGTAAAGTAAAAGTAAAGTGCCACCCTTAGTTTAGGCCCTGGCACGAAAAGATTTAGCATATCTTACATTATCGTATTTGCCTTATGAACTACGATACGTGAGGTCTTTCGATAGAATTTAACGGGAAATAGATCTCCAAAAAGCATACTTGTTAGTGTAATTGTATCTTATTAACTATAGAGACCGTTACTTGTTTCTACTTAAATAAAATAAAACATCGATGTGAGGCTAGCACGAACAAACGATGTGTTAGCTAGAACCTTTTTTATTAAATAAGTCCCGTCTCTGAAAATTATGTCATTCGACTCAGAATATAATTCTGCGCGTCGAACGGACTGGCTTTTACGGACAGGACTTATTTAATAAAAACGTTTTTATCTGACACATCGTTTGTTCATGCTAGCTCGTTCGTACTAGCTTCACACCGATATAAATAAAAGTCATATTCTTTTTCATCTTCTTTCTTCAGATAAGATAAAAAAGGAACAGAAAGGGTTGAAATAGTTTTATCATTGAAAGTTGTTATATCATGTACCTTTTATTCCCTCAACTCAAATAAAAAGTATTAGTACGAAAAAAATTTGAGAAATCTGTTAATTCATCGTAGTTTAAAGGCTACAGTAGAAATGAACAAATAAAACTCCGTGGTGTCTTTGATCCTCTGTACTACAACAGCGAGCAATTGTAAGTGCTACTCACTCACATACAATTTGAGTATGATACTCTTTTGACTGAGATCAAACTTTGATTTGGATGATTTTTTAATTAGTATACTGGTTCAAACTATATTCTAAACATGTGAATCACTATTAAAATGTTTTAATATTGATTGATCAACAACAAAAAATGAAAATGATTGAAACAAGAAAAGATAAATTCAAGTACGACTGATATTCCATTGACGTTGCTATTCTGTTTCTTGTTCATTAGATTTAAGTAATATTAAAAGTAAATCTAAATTAAGAATATATTCTTTTAGGGAAGCCATCACCATTTTTCTTCCATAATAGCATTTTTCTCAAAATTTGATAAAGATTTAAGAGAGAATAAACGTAGAATAAAAAGGAAGGAATAA